AGATAGATAGATAGATAGATAGATAGATAGATAGATAGATAGATAGATAGATAGATAGATAGATAGATAGATAGATAGATAGATAGATAGATAGACAGACTACCATCTGCCCTAGCCTCCCCCACCTCCTCCTTCACCCTTCTTTGTCATGCCCATGTGGGTGCATTAGTCTGTTGCTCACAAGGTGAGAGCAGCAAATAGCTGCTCCAGGCTCTACCTAATTTGGAGAATGCTTTTTGTGATAGACAACCTGGATTCCATTTCTCTGATATTCATTCCCATATTTGGTTGACCTACAACCTTTATTAATGGAGAGGTAGCCTGGTCAGCCACTGGATCAGTCATTTCTCTTAAGGTTGACAGTCAGAGGTAAGAGAACACCCACGCAGGTATAAAAGTTTTAATTATATTAAAATTTCTGCTGCTAGCTATATTTTGTAATAGGTTAGCAATTTATTTGAGTGACAGGACTCCTGTTTCTGTGAACCTTGCTGTCAAATGTGTAATGAATTTGTGATGTTATATGTGATCTTTGGTTCCTTTCTGTGTGCTTCATATAAATAGCACAAATCGTTACTTCCTGTGGAGTGAAACGCCTTAGGTAAAATTTAAAGCTACACTTCTTGAATTTCTGAATCAGTTAACTTAAATGCATTTTTCTATTGGTGCATGTGTGTGTCAGAAAAGAATGGGCATTTTTTGCGATTATGTCTGTTTGGGGTTGCTGGTCTTAAATACCCAAACACCTCAAACACCTTTAGTAGTTGTGTCTCATGCAAAGACCTGCTGCATAACACGTTAATTTGAGCCTTCTGCATACTAAAAGTTACCGGAAATGCTTGATATACAAGAATATAAATATTTTTTGTTGTTTTTAGAAATTCTTTTACTGTCTCTGTTACTAAACCTGCTTTGTGTGCATTTTTCCTGGGTCTTACATGAATTTGGTTAATATATGCTTATGCTTATTTACATTTAATAGACATTTTTTTAAAGGTTGAAAAATGGGGGATGCTGCCATGAAAGAGTTTGGGGCGGCGGCTCCTTACCTGAGAAAGTCAGATAAGGAGCGTCTGGAGGCCCAGACTCGCCCATTTGATATGAAAAAACAGTGCTTCGTTCCTGACCCTGAAGTTGAGTACGTTAAAGCAACAGTCACTAGCCGCGATGGCGACAAAGCCACCGTCGACACTGAATTTGGAAAGGTATATTCATCATATCAGTTCCATTTAAATGTATTTTAGTTTTTAGCTTTGTGTAATACCTGGTACTTCTTTTTGCAGACCGTCACAGTGAAGGAGTGCGATGTGCACCCCCAGAACCCGCCTAAGTTTGATAAAATTGAAGACATGGCGATGTTCACCTTCCTCCATGAACCAGCTGTGCTGTTTAACCTCAAAGAGCGTTACGCAGCGTGGATGATCTACGTGAGTTACCAAACTTGAATGTTATCTTTAGTGAAATAACATTTTCGCATCTGAAACAAAATTTAATATCCCTC